CAAATGTATATAGTATAGCTGTTTTTATTGTTACGTTTAGTGCTATTAAACAAAGTTTTGGTATATTATGTATAGCTACCATATGGTATTATACATAATACAGGGTGGTGTTCTTAAGTGGACCATTAGAAGTATCTCAGGAACGGTTAGGAATTTCGATTCGGGACCCATTTCCTTTTTTGAATAAACGGTCAAAAAATGAATCATTTAAAAATATTTTCAAGATGGCTGCTTTTCCGGTTAGAACGATACCGAAACTTTCTTGTTTCAAATGGCACTATCTTTTCTGATGGCATTGCACATATCAGACTTCATCTATGTCTAGCTATCACCCGCCTGGGATACTTAGCTGCGCCACAGAAAAATGTGACTACTGAGCCCTACCACCACGACAAGGTGTGCCCCATGGTAGAGCACCACGTATAGTAGTTATAATTCATCACGAAATCTTTTAAACTGGGGTTATGTGACGTCACAGCCATGACACAAAACAGCGTTTTGGCGCTAGAATAAAAATCTACAATTTAAATGGCATAAATTTGCAGTATGATTTATCTTGTTGAAATATCATTTTAAAATTTTAAAGTTATAGTAGAGGTATACGAACAGTTATAACCGGTTTTAAAAAATTTGTTATCTATCCTATTGGGTCACCTGCGCGAACCTGACGAATTTGCGTCTCTTTGTACACTTGTATGTTAGTGTACCAGGGGAACAATCACGCACGGGTGGTGTGATAAATTTTGCTTTGTTTTGTATCATTTGATTGAGATCTTTATTTACACGTCAATTTCATCAATGAATTTATAGCCTCAATATTCAAGTGCTAGATTATATGCCCTCGTGAATCCGTGTATTAAAACGTCAATTTTGTAGATGAGTAGGATGTTTGTGCTTCTCAATCGGAAAAAATACTTTTAATGATGGTCGTTTGGCAGTTTGACGTGTTTGTTTGTCGCTGATTGTATTATCTGGATGGAATGTTTTTAATATTAGATTAAGTTAACATATTAGGTTAACCACAGGATGTGTTGCATTTTGTCAACACAAGTCACGTTATTTGCAGAAGAAAAATGTGAAGCGATACTTGCAATGTACGTTCTTTAAATAATATTACTAGCTCCAAGCCTCCAACTCTCCTCCGGTTCTCTTATCTTTCAATGCGACTTTAACTTCAAATTTTACATAATGTGTAGTGTGTTTCTTCGGAGGTTTCTTGGAAATATGCTGTATCAAAAATGTTCTGTAGGTACTTAATTAGTCTTTTGGATGTAATACGAAAATTTGGCTTCCTCGAAAGCTTGAAACTGATCCGGCGTCTCAAAAAAGATATAAATATCGACTCCGCTCGATAACTCAAAAATACTTTGACTATAAAGCTCAAACTATACTAGATATACCGATAGGCCGTGGCTAACGGAAAAAGTGATTAGATTTTGGGTTTCAGGGGATAACCCCCCGAGGCAGGGCAGCACAAACCCAGGGCCTTAGCCAGACTGTATAATCAGGACAGGCTACTTGAGCGATTCGTATATTACTCTCGCCAAGAAAGATTGCCGGTCACAGCATACCTTCTGTCGATCTACAATCTATGGTTTTCTTAAGATGCGAGCGGCTTCCGGAATAGGATCGTGCTAATGTTGAACGAAAGGCTTTTTGTTCAACATTGACACGAATTTACTAGGTTTGTGAACACACGTGTCAATTTTTGTTGAAAACAACTAGAATAATATTATCTTTGTCCTCGTATGCAGTTCGCGCATGCGCCCATTTAATTTATGCTATATTCCATATGTTTGTTTTTACTAGAAGCTTCTATGGTTAAAATTTTTCATAAGTAAAAAAGGTGACATTTTGCAGTTAGCGCATGCGCGTATTTGATTTTTTCTGTGTGCGATATGTTTGCAATTGCTAATGACATTTGTAGTTTTCGATTTTTACTACATGTGAAATGTTTTTCTTTACTAGAAGCATCTATTTCGAAAATATACTTTCATAAATAAGAAGTTGGCACTGCGCAGAATGTTTACAATATGAGATATGTTTGCCTTCGTTGGAAAATGCGCTAAAAATCAAAGCTTCATCAAATCTTTGTGATAAACCACCGACCCCGCGAGACGCCCTCGGTCCTTTGAAATGTTGATATATCGTAATACCATACCTATTATTAGACATTATAGACATGTTATAAGTACATAGTTATGTTGCTTTAAATTGATAACAGCAACATCCTCAATAGTAATAATTTTCTGTGTTATTATAATATATTTTTAGCAGACTCGTAAACAATGGTAAATTCCGAAATCTGGCTAGGGCAGGCTTAACATTTTTGTTATTATTGTTATTGTTATTATTTATAAACAGCTTTTCAATTTTTTTGTTTGACAAAATAACCACTCGGCTTGCCCAAATTCCAAGTGACTCTAAACTTACAGGGTTAATAAGCATACGTGACAAACTTTTAACAAAAGAGATACAGAAAATATTAAATCTAAAATTAAACCATAACTTTCTCCAACACTACTTAAATCAAATTTACCCACAACAAATTTAATGTTCACCAAACCCCGTAGAGGAAAATAATAAACAACTTTTCAAACGTTATGCGGACTTCTTTTAATTGAATTCAGGCGCTAGCCTATAAATAGTTGGTTCATATGATAATATTCAGTGCACTTATTTAAAAAAAAAACGATATACCTAGGTCCACTTTCAATTTTATTTTAGACGAATTTGACTAACTCAACTGGACACGAGTGTAACTCACACACTTAATTAACTTTACAAGACTACGATGACGTACATTTCAAAAACTATGCATTCAAATCGGGGATAGAAATTCGAGCGTAGCAGAACGCTCTTGAGTGTCACAGTCCGTCCACACGTATACAAATCTCCATTCTTCCCTTCCAACACTGCCTTTTATAAACAAGCGTTATAGCGAACCACGTCCACTTTCGCAAATTTATGTACATTAAAAATACTTCTTTATCGCATAAAAAAATGTTATTATTTTTTTTATTTGCGCCCAATTACTTTTAACCAATGTGTCAAATTTCATACAGAAAATAAACCCAAAAATAATTCCTAACGTTAAGAAAATTGTACACAAAAAACACATCTGCAACTGTATAACAATGTCAATAATTTAAATAAAAGCATTAGTGTCGCTTTTTATCTAGTATTCTCTAAATTAAATTTAAATCCACAAAGACGAACTATCCATAGCGTAATTAGTCTTTCTTAAAAACAAAATAATTAAGCGTGGTATCACACTAGTATGGGCCGCTCTGTATAATAATTTAAAAGTATGGATCTCTATAAGAATAATTCGAAAGGGATAACGGATTAGTCACCGACGATAAAGAATGAAAGCGGATGTGACTCATTCATTCTATGAAATGTGATATGCTGATTCGAGATTTCTCTAGAAATGGTCTTTAGTCTCAGTTTTACCATCGATATCGATGTGATAAATAATGAAGTACGCGGTCGTGTTATAAATCGTATCTGTAAGTGATAAATATTGAATTGTTATAAATCAATCTACAGGGTTGACCATTACTGCGTGGGGGAAGATTATGGGTTTATTAAAGCACAGATTTAAAATTAATTATCTGGGAGATGTTGATTAACTCTTTAGGCTATATCCTAAGAATATTTTCAACGAAATTGACCAAGGGATCCAAATATACAATAATATACAGGGGGTTCTATTTAAAAAAAAACGCAACTTGGATATAAATCACCTTGTATGCATCCTGTATAAAAGGACTGTTACAAATTCATCAATAATTAATTGTATATAGGTAAATCAATCACGTACTTAAATTTACGTTACAATATCCAGTAAATATTAGCAATATGTGATTCTGTGGTACTGCTGTCGCTAAAAATTAAGACATCCCTCAACGTTTCAGTTGAAGGGACTCGAGCACCCCCAAGCCACATTGAGCCGGCGCCCCTGGGTCTTATTGGTTGCGACGTTTTGTTTGTTCACTTCAAGTCAAGGCGTTGAACAGGTAGTTATCACATTAAAATAGCTTTCTTTTTATGCCACCTTGAAAAGTTTTTATTTTTTGTTGACGTAAATCTGTTAAACGAACGTCAAGCGTGAGCAAAGTAACTCATTGTATCTACCTATGTCGCAAGGTTATCAGTAAAAAATATTGTTATTCTGTGTTTATATAATTTTATGTAAAAGGAAATGGAAGACTTTGAGTTTGCAATTTATCTGTTAATTTATTTATTTACACTGCTTCGTAAATTAATGGAAAAAATAATGGCAAAATGGCGAACTAGCCTTTGAGACAAATTCATTTTGGAATGCGAACGACAAACATTGCAAAACATCCATATATTGTGTGACGTTTGAGTGAGCTAATATAATTATTGCAGTGATATTACTATTTTAATTAAGGAATTGTACGTCAATAATTCTATCTCTTTTACGGCGCGCCGATATTCATATATGAAAAGCAGATGCATGCGAAGATAATTACGTGAGGTACGTTTCAGCGAGATTGACATTTCGTTGTTAAACCTCGCTGAGTTAAATGTTATTAATGCATGATTACAGGTTGTTTTAGTCACGCCATTGTATACGGTATGTAATATCTACCGAAAGCCCTACAAAGCGCAGACCGCTACGTTAGAGAAGGACACGTGCTTAATACGGGGAGCATACTGTCGTGTAGCGCAATATCAACGGGTAGCGTACGTTTACTGTTTAGCTGATAATTAGGCAGAGTAATTGAACGTATACCGAGAGGTGGCGGAAAAAGGCGAATATCGACGAGCAGAGACAATTCTCCACTATTGTGTCAGGTCGGGCGTCTAATCACTACGAGAGGACGGCTATGATCCCAATTCGAAAAAAGTCGCAGGTTATGCTTATGCATAATCGTATGCACGCACAGTTTGCCAGTATTTTAAGTTAGATTGATTTAAGCGCTGAAACTGAAAGAGCAGTGCAATCTAGAAGCAACTTGTAAAATCGCGTGTTGAATGATAAAGACGGCGAGCTATCCACCCACGGTATCGGTCCGGTAAAGCCGGCAACACCGCCTCGCTATAACCGATATTGTGGCCGCATGGAATGGAGGAGAGTAAGCTCGGGTCAACTTCCCCTGAGCCCCTCCAGTGCTGACTACGTGCCGTTGTTTCTCCCACAGGCAAGTTAGACAGTTGAACGCCGCGTGTTGTAGGAGCAACATTTAGCACGGACGCGCAGAGTACGCTTCTCGATTAGTGTGCGAATTTTTAAAAAGACAAATTATGTTTATGTCAAGTGTTTAATATACTGTCTACATTTATGTTTGGGATCAAATGCTGGGATACACTTCCTATAGGTATATATCAATTTTTGGGTGAATTTCTTTTCAGCTGTGAATCAAAACTGTGTGAATTATTGTGATAAGAAAGTGCTCTACCACCAATTGGATTAAATTCTTTGTGTATGTGCATTATGGGATTTCTCTGGAATTCGTCTGTGAAATCGCGACCGCTTAAAAATAAAATTTCAACACGCTGATAAATGCAGTTTATTGCAGTGCTTAATGATAAGCCAAAGCAATTGGAGCAACAGCACGTAGCTCCAGTTATATATAAATAACCGTTTTTTATTGTTTATAAAATTTTATCGAGGCAGAAATATTAAAAATTAATTGTAAACATAAACGAGGCTCTTATCTAAAGTAGTTGGATGAGTGTTTTCGCGCTATAAATAAAGTGCGCGAAAAATGTTCGCGTTCAGTATAATTATTGCAAATTAGCAACGTATAACACCAGAGCGTTAAAGTGCTTGACTAATTCGAATTTCACGTGGATCTTGGATGAGATCTAAACATGGCCTGTTACAGGGACTGGTCGCCAGCGGGCGCCACGGCCCAACAGCAACTGTCTGTCGTGACGACGGTGTGGGGAGTCACCACGTCCAGTCAATCAGGCCCCCATAGTGCTTACGCTAATACTTCAGCACCTCCGGCAGGATCGCAAGGATATGTAAACACCCTTAAGCAATCTCAACAAAATAGTTATCAAGGCGGCTACAGACAAACGGGGCCCAGGTGAGTGGTTTAGTTTCAAAATAGCCCCAAAAACCAAACCGGCCCCAATCACTTAAAGAATACAGTTGATTTACAACCGAAAATAAATATTTGCCGTTTAGACGCACGTTTTATGATGCATTTATAACATTTATTACAAAAGCGTCCGTTGAAGTCGACAAACCTAGTCAAAACGACCCCAGGTATTCAAACAAATATGTGTCCAATTAGGGTGGCTTGCGTCTAACAAAGGTGACCTAGTGAGCGCGTGAGAGGGGCGAGAAGAGTAAAGAGAAGGGTGGAATCAGGGGCTGTCAATATAATGGGAGCGTAAGGGATGCGCGAGGTAAACGGACCAAAGAGGATTTACACCAGTTACCACAAAAAGTTTTCTGGCAATTCCCTACAAAATAGTTCGGGTTTAATTTCGATCACGTCCGATTTGTTAGGAACTAATTTGGAAATTTCGAAAATTGTAGAAAAAACGCGTAACACGAGCAGCGTGATTATTAACGCCTTACGTGTAACGGTTTTTTAACCTCGAGGGGAACAACTCCCTCTTCACACGAATGCGATCAATGAAGTTCTTTTATTTAAATAGTTTCTGTTACGCGGAAATGAAAGAAGCACGAGAGTGATGCTAAACCCGTCATCAGTCGACAGTCATTTACAAATTTTTGTCCTTGATTCGAAAAGCATAAAAAAGAAGGGCAATTTGTATGCGTGCCATTGATTCATAATTAATTGCAAAACCAGGATATTTGATAGTTAACTTACCGGTATGTCACCTTAACTTGCAAAAAGTGTAGGAAAACCTTCAAGCTTTTTCACGCCGGCGCCGCACCGATTTGTTTATTTCGGCCATGTCCTACTTTGAAATCAAAATAAATACTTCAAAGATGTAACTTTATGATTCCTATACAACTGCACTTTTTATGGAATCGATTACGCTTATAAAATATGCCCAAGTACTTTAACTTAGTCTTTCCTTGACCCAGTTTTTTAACACAAAATTCCTCGCTGGGCAAATATTAATGCATAACGGAATTTTATTGACACTGCAAATTCCCGAAACGTAACGTCCACAAGCATTTTTTTCGCATTTAATTTGTAATAATATCTACGTAATGACGTGCGGTCGTGTAAAAAGAATAGTTTTATTATCATGTTGACGTGTAAACTACGCTGTAAATATTTTGCACTTTGTTTTTTTGCGGTTTTTGTCGTTTTGTGTTTTTTCATTAGTGACTAAAGTGTGTAGCAAACAGAATTCCACTTCTAAATTTTATCAATTTTTAAGGTATTAAAAATTGAGCTCACAGTATGCCCAAAAATTTCTTTCATGGTAACCTTCACAGGCATTACATTTTTTTTAGTTTGCCATTGTCTTCATCCTATTGTATTTATTAGTTGCGAAATCCAATGGTAAATTGCAATTGTTACGTAAAGTTGTCGTTCGTATTTGAATAAATAATGATGAGGGAAAATAGAAAAAGATAAATATTGACCACTTCTTTATCACCCTCGCCCTTATAGGTATATATCGATACCTTGTATTTTTGTCTGTTGAGAATAGCCGAGCGAAAATGTCTGTTTAAATTGCGTTTTCCAATATCTTAGCTTAGAAAATTCCGTCCAAAGATAGGTATGTAAATGTTTTAAAAGGAAAAACAATTTTTTAACCTCATCTTAGTGCGAATAGCACTCCCAAATTGACTATAATGATTTTTTTTTTAATTTCCATTACAAATATAGCAAAAATTAAATCAGGAACAGGTCACAGTACTGTTTCCAATACTACAATATTACCCCCGCAATTACCTTCCACAACGTCAGATGAGCATTTTTCATTGACGTCATTCTAATCTGTTCTTTTTTAAAGCAAATTTTTCAGTCCTTTAACGTCTCGTGTGTTGTTTCATGTCGGTGAGAGCATTACAATTTTTTAATAAGCAGTTATGGGTGGCCAGAAAAATTCTCTGATGGGGAATGTCCACTCCGAGATCCACTCGAACATAGTAAATTTTGAAATTACCGAAAAGACAATTGTGGAAATAACGTGGAACAAAATTCCCGAGAACGTAGGTTACAGTTTGTTAAATATGTCAACCCCGGCTGTTATTCTTTTGTCCGCTTTAGGATAGTTTGTGAAGTGACTCTTGAATGTTAGTTGAGCTGTAGTGCGTAAGACTTGACCTGCAACGACGTACTTTGACTTTAGCAAGAAAATGGTTTCTCTCGTATTTCTCTTGTTCGGGAGTCTAAAAGGCAAATTTTTGAATTTTTGAAAATAGAGAAAAATATGTTCATTCAATTGTTATTTTAATTTAATCTTCTATGTATCTTCATGCAATGGCAAAAGTGTATCCTCGAGTGTATCTGTAAATGAAATGTGGGAAAGTGTATGAAAGGAGCTGAAAAGTACCCGGAAAGTTATCAAACATTAAGTTTCCGGTAATTCAGACACCTTTTTTGGTTTTCTTATTTTTGCTATTGAATATTGAGAGAATTATTTAATTTCTCTCGTCTGGCTATCGTCTGCGCTTTATTCGTCTGTCTTTCTCTTTGGGCAAATTCTGGGGTCCTGGAAGCTTATATTATCAAAATGGCGAACCTCCTTTGCACGGCCTCCTACGCCCTTCCCTCCGGGATATGAGAAAGAAATAAGTGAGAAAAATTCAATTTCTATACGTAATCGTTATTTGCTCACTGCGTGTAGGTACATTTTTTTTTGTAGGTTATCTGTAGAAAACATTATTTGCCTAGAAGTAAGTACTAAATAACGTAAATAACGTTTTTGACAGATTTATTTATTATCCCTCTTGTTCGTTTTAATGCTTTTTAGGGATGCCCCTGCAGAAGGTCTTAAGTTGTTCTATACTACTCCGATATTTACGAGGGTATTTACCTTACGAACTCGCTGACGAATTAGGAAAACTGCAGGAAAACCTAATTGGGAATTACCTGCACGTTAAGTTTGACGTTTCTGATACATCACAGGCGAGATCACAGGGATGAATATCGTTATTCATACACGAGTAGCGTTGGAAAAATGAATCGCACTAGCTCGTTGCCCAAGTCATAAATTTTACACCTCGTTTTACACATTGGTAATGACCACGTGTTTTTTAATTGTCATACTATATTCCTCGCTATATTCATACATCAATTTCGTTTCGAAAACAGCAATACTAAGTAATTAGATCCAAGCTCAAGAAATGCGTTTCAATGACCACGCGAATTTTGACCAAGATGTATCAAAGTCGTTATTTATATGTATTCCAATTCTGTTCGGGAATCGTCATGCATTAATTCGATGTCTAGGAAATCAACTTTATGCATTTTCTCTCGCATTTTCCGCATGCATGCGTAATGATATTTATGTGATTCTCCATTGATGAAATATTCTTACTTAGATTGTTTATAGTATTTTACATTATTAGCCAGGTAAGTGAGTTTTTAACTAGCGAGCCGTCAGGCGAGCCCGTCATCTCCTAGAGCCAGTAAAAACTATTACCTGGCGTATAATGTACAATATTTTATTTGTTACTCATTTGGAAAAATAGTAAACGTAAATAATTAGTTCTTAAATTGATCTCGAAGAAATGTCTAAAATATCATGTTATCCATGTAGATAACAGAGACTTTGAGTTAATTCTGGCCAATGAAATTACTAGATTACTAACTTGTAAAATTTTTACAGGTCAGCTGTCAGTTTTACAAGTCAGTAGCGTTTAAACATGACGTTTACCCGTTTGCGTTTTGTCTTACAACTGAGTAACAAATAAAAGTGTTTACTATAGCGCGTTCGCACCTCCAGATGCAGTATGGGGACTAATTGCCTCTCTCACTAGTTTGCGTCATTCTTCGAATATACTATCCTTGTTTCTAACCGCATTGATGTCAAATTGACATATGATTAAATTGAAGTATTAAAACAAAACATAATCTTGTGCTGTCATTGTTGCGTTTGGCAAGCATGTACTGTATGTCCATAAGCACCATACTGCATCTGGAGGTGCGAACGCGCTGTAGACTAGATTAAAACATACACATATTTTTAAAATTCTGGACACATGCTGTATTGTGCCTGAATTCTGTCCGTACGCCCAAGAAATTCAGTAGGTAATAATCCTCGTAATAATCGGACCTCGTTGGACACTGCGATTTTTAGATAGATTTTTATCTCCCTACTGTAATGGTACCAGTATATTTATAGGTTTATATACAGGGTGTTCATTTGAAAACTTTCCACCACGGATTAATCGAAAACCACTGAATAAAGGAAAAAAACGTCGAGACACGTCACAAGATTTGGGGGACAACCAGGGTCACTCCTTTAAAAATTTTAAATGACCCGTGGTATCGAGTACCTAATAGCTGTTGAAAGGTCTTTCGAAGTCCTTTATTTTGACGTTTGATTTTTTAAAATCGGTCAATTCGTTTTCGAGAGAATTAGAAAAATCTTTATTTAATTTATTTAATCGACAAGTGATATTTTCGTTTGTTTTTGTTTTATATCGATTCTATCGATTCGAGGGTTGATTAAATAAATTAAATACCTAAAGATTTTTCTAATTTTCTCGAAAACGTATCGACCGATTAAAAAAAAATCAAACGTCAAAATAAAAAACTTCGAAAGACCTTTCAAACAAGCCATTACCTCGGCTATTACTCGATACCACTGGTCATTTAAAATGTTCTCGAACATTTTTAAGGGAATGACTTCTGGTGGGCAGAGGGGGAAAGGAGGTGCAGTAGTTTAAAAAGTTGCCCCCCTTGACAAATCTTTTGATGCGTCTCGGCATTTTGTTTAATTTTTTAATCACTGGTTTTCGATAAATCCGTGATGGCAAGTTTTCAAATGAAGACCCTGTATACTCGTATATACAGGGTGACAATTTGAAAACTTACCACCCCCCATATCTTAGTAAATAAACGAGATATTTAAAAAAATCAAAATCCGTTTCGGTAATTCGGAGGGGGACTCACAATGACATAGTTGGCGACGCACCCCCTCA